GAAAAAAAAAAAATTTGGTTCAACTTTTTTCCTTCTCTTCTCCGCTTCTCAGCCGAGTGTGAAAAAGGCTCATCGGCAAGCAGCCTCGTCGGACAGAGGGTGCCGCTGGGGTCACGGGGGACCAACATCCGACCTGGGGCGGCCGGAGACGTTGGCGAGGCGTGCAAAAGGAGGAGGGTGGAGGAGGAAGGCGAGGTGGAGAGGCAGCCCCAGAAGAAACGTACCCTGGGTACCGGGGTCCCCAGACGCCCGGGGAAGAGCGGTGACAGAGCTGCCCCTGCCAAGCAGAAGTTGATATCTGGACAGAGCAAGCTGACCAGCTTCTTCAGGGTATAGGGTTTCCCCCGCCCCCCGCACATCCCTCCTCGCCTCCACCCGGTTCCCCACAGGCGATCGGTGACGGACCCATGCTGTCCCGCTCGATGCCGGTGACCTCAGCCCCACACAACAAGGTGGTGTGACATTGAAGCCGGATGTTGTAAAACATGTGATGCCTTTCCCTGATTGGCTTTTACCCCGAGTCACACAACGGTCTCCGAGACTGAAAGGGAGCCATTTTCTTATCCCCTCTCCAGCCTTGTTTTGCACGGACTTCTGGAAGCGCTTGAGTGGAAAACGGATATTCTGTGTGTTAGATCAGTCCTGGTTTAACTTGGATATTAGACGTGTATTTTCTTTTCGTAAAAGAAGGTACCGCATAAATTATGGTTTTAGGTTGCTGATCTGTGCTATGGTGTGCATCTGTGCCAACGTTGCTGTGGCAATGGGTGAGGTTGTGATGGCGTGTAGATTGGCGTGTAGATTGGCATGATCCCCCCGCGTCTATGTCCATGAGGCAATCTGGAAAGTGTAATTGCTTATGTGCTCGGGATCCAAGTGGATCTGTTTGATGCCACATCAGTGAAAGGGGTGGTACAGGGCAATCCAGCCCCCCCCCCGACTTTCAGATACCCATCCAAAAAAGCTGTGTCCCCCCTCCCCCAAGTCCTGTGCCAGAAAAGTTCTAGCTCTTTGTCTTTACGTAGAGTGCGCCAACATTAAAATGGTGATTTCGGGCATTTTTTGATCTACAAAACAAGCCTTTGCCACTTTGTTTGCAGGTCTTCACGCCTTTTTAATAAACGCTTTTTATTCTTTGTTACACGTGTCTTTTAATAGCGAGAGAAAACTGGGGGGTGGAAGTCCATCCAGCGGACGGGAAGGCGTGTCAATGGAAGGGGGGGGTGTGGGGGTGTCACATTGTGTTCTTTGCCCCTTCTGGGTCACGCTTGCCAGCAGGGTCTATAGACCTGTCCCACCATGCATCTGAGCACTAGGGAGAAAAGAATGACAAGAGAAGCAATTAGCAAATTACTGGATGGAAAATGAAATTTGTTAGAATTGATATCAAGGTCAAGAAACCCTCATATTTTCCTTCCTTTTTAGAGGCAAAGGCGTGGGTTGTTTATTGGTATGGAATTCATCGTATTTTTCCAATTCTGCACATTTTATTATCCTAGTAACACAACATCCTGACTGTGTGGGGTTTGTTTCACGGACCTTAATTGACCTTAATTCAGTCTCAATGCTTTTAATGGAAAGTTTTTGGCACCTATTGCCAGAGCAGCATATATTTGTTGCTAGCCCCCCCCCCCTCCATCCTACCATCAAAGTCTCCTCCACCGACCGAGAGGACCTCGCCAGTGTCTCTCCGCTCTTTATCCCTCGCTTGTTCGGGCTCGCCATTGTCTGCCTCCTGGAACTTGCTGGAAGTAAACAGTCTGGGTCGGCTTGTTCTTAGGGACGCGTCCCGAGGGTCGCCTTGGCGACCGAGGTCCTGTGGGATAGAAAATGGCATTGCTCATCCATGCGTCGCATTCACTGCGATGCGAGTCATGCCTGCAAGGCCCAGATCCCAGTCGCATCTAAAAATGGCCTCCTGGTTGTTCAAACTGGGAGACGTCAGTGGTTATGCTCAAGCCCATGAGTCCACTAGCTGTCTTTTCATTCTTATAGACCTGGTAAGACGGCAGCGAACACAGCTAGATTTCATCTACTGCCTTCAAGTTGTGGATACAGTCAGCTGGAAATTGCTGGTTGAGTCATCAGTGATATCCTAGTAGCCGCTAGGTTAAGGGACGAGGAAGGAGAGCACCAGATTGAGGCAGTTTGCTGTTCAAATCCTGGCTTTAATGAGGAGTCCCACTCTTGCATTAAAAGCCTAACTAGCTGTGGGTCATGTGACTGGAACAAATCGCAGTTGCCATGTCTGAACCTCTGGTGTCCGTTCTAATGAAAGGCCGCATGGAAGAAATTTGTCTAACAGCAACGGAGTTTTCCATAACGCCTGCCACTTTTTATGAGGTCCCAAAAGCGACCGTGCGCCTCACCCTCCCGTTCTGCGATGCCTCCCTTCACTTGCTGTCGAGCCGTTTTGATTATTTGCACTGACAGCTGTAGCCTTGTGATAAGCTTCTGGGTCATAAGGTAGGAGCTGCGATCAAAAACTGAGCTGTTTTTAGCGTATTTTTTTATAGAATAGTCTATTATATGCTAAATAATTAAGCCAAAATCTGTTCAGTCATCTTATCCAGCCGCTGAGAATAAAAATTACATAAAAACCCCATTTGTCTTGTAGGAAGTCAATTACGTAAGTGTTGAAAAAAGTATCTCGATTTATCAATCCAATCCAAAAATAAATGCATTTGTGAACGTTCTTGGTCAGTTTGATCTTATTTTGGTTTGTTGACAGTATTTAGACAAATTTGCCCTTTGGAAACAAAAACTAGCTGAACTGATGGATGACATTGCAGTTAGTGTTCAGGACCAGGTGCTTCAGTCTGCTCTGCCTGTATTACGTCATCATCAAAATAATGCAGCTGGGGATTCTAAATCTAGTCCTGAACAGCTGAAATCCAGGTGGTTTTAGGTGCTACTCAGAACAATTGCTAAGTAAGCCAATCACTCCTCGTTTAGGATTAAGATGACACAATTGAATGTAATTAACTTGATTTAGCTACTATAATGTTCCATCCATCAATCCATCCGTCTTCTGACCTTTTCTTCCTGGGGGGCCTGGAGCCTATCACAGGGGAAAAAGTTGGACAGGATGACAGTCTATCATTTACTCAGGAATTATCATCCTACTTTATGCCAAGGGGTATGGACAGTATCTACATATCCCGAGTGATATTGTGCACATACCATGTGTGTTTAGGGAGGGTGATTTCTTGCTTAGCCCAATAAGTTGTTGGATTTAAAGTAGTCCAGGCTAAATGTACAGTAATTGAACGAAGATTAAATCCATTTAAACTGAAGCACCTTAAATCTAACAATTAAGCAACAAATCTCCCTTCATGATACAGTCAATTGGTCCCTAAGAATGTTGGAACCAAACCATTGTCCTTGCTTTATGCTCGATACCTATCTTTATATCTATCCTGACTAAGAAATAATAGATTTTAGCACAGAACACTCACATAGTTAAAGTTCCCCAGAAAAACAGTTGCAGACACCTGAAGAGGGAATACTTACTGTGAAGATAAGCCCCTCTGTGTTCCCTTCGTCCCATAAGCTGCTCGCTGGGATAGACCACTGATTTGTGGAAATGCCATCAAGGACATTATCCATCACAGTCTTGGCAGTCTGCATGGAGCCAGCAGTCTCGTCCGCCTCTGTCCAGGACACAGAATGTGTGTAGCACATGGAGAACAGAGCCACCATTAAAAAAAGGCAGAAAGAACAAACTGTCATTTTTGCCACGCACGGGTGATGACTTTGAAACATACAGACGATGCCAAGGAAGTTGTGCCTGGATATTTATTGTCATGGGTTGGGTCAGACTTTATATACGGTTGGCTGTGGAGGAAGGGAAGGAGCAGAGAAGAGCATATTGTAAGTGTTTGTGCTTTTGTGAAATGGGGCAGGTTGAATGGGAACGGAGATAGTCAAATGGATTTAGGAGGGTTGGCTCTACAGGGGCCTATTGAGGACGACAATGAAGGAACAGATCTCATCTAGATTATGTGTGCAGTAGGTCTCGTACTTGAGGTGTAACTTTGTGATAAAGAGGCATGCTGGCGTGTTTGGCTCACCCCCTGGTGAGTGATGACGTGGTATATCTGCAAGGTGTTTCCACAGTGCTATTCTAAGATGGGCTCATCACAAACCATACCTATTTCAGGTTCTGTTGGTGGGAGGTGGGGGGGGGGGTTACGTGGCCAGGCAGTTTTTATGTCCTAGGTATGAAAAGAACATAAACAGCTTAGGGGTTTATATAAAACGTACATTGTTTGAAGAGGATATCTTCACCTTTACAAGATGAAGGACTCGTGCTGTGAAGATGAATGACCTACGTTGTAGAAGAAGGAGCTCCTACAAGTAATCCTGGGCTAGCTTCAGAACCTGAGGCATGATGGGACTAGCAGCAAGAACAAAGGCTTGACCTATGACCCTTCAAGCCAAAAGCTCTTTGGGTTTTTGGAACGAAAGCCAGAAATCTGCTCGTTTCACATATATCATCTCTGTGATCTGTAGGAAATACACCGTCCTGCGAGTCTAAAGCCAGTTCTCCAGCTGTGTACTGGGCCTTTTGTGTAGTTTAAGGTGTGAATTCAGAAGAAGTATTTCCCATTCTCATGTCTCTTTGCTCTGGTCTGGTGCAATAGAAACCCCAGTTCCTACTCTGATAATGCCCTGATAATGATCCTTGCCAGTTGTCACCCCCTGTTGCTGCCTTACTCATAGTCTTCTTCATGGTCTGTTTTGGTGTTGTCTGCCAACACCGGATACAACCTACCATCATGCTTTCATTCCAGTCTGAGAAGCTTTATTCTTCCTGGCAATTATAGCAAACCGGACAGACTTCTAAAGATGTCCTGCCTATCTTTCACGTGATAGCTGGCACTTTTCACCTTATCCCAAATCCCGCTTGATTCCTACAGTCAGAGGCACGATGGCCATCAGTTAGTAGAACGACCTGCCAGGCATCATTATTCAGGAGACGATGGCCCTTTATCACCATGACTTACCTGCAGCTGCTCACGGGGGAACGTGAAACGAGACCCAGCCGTATTAACACCACAGAAGCTGCAGTGGCAGCAAAGAAAGGTGAGATGTGAATAATTGCCATCAAACCAGACCGAAGTGATTTTCCTTGGACTGCTCTGCTTTTATTCTCTGAGTGTTTGTGTTGGAGAGAGAGGGGCTCTGCTGAAGGGCTGGACCAGTCACCTGGGAGACTTCTGTGCCAGCAACTGAGCGGTGCAACCTCTGGGCCCTACCACTGTTGTTCTAACCTCTCTCTCTCTCTCTCTCTCTCTCTCCATTCTTGTTCTCTCCATCCATCTTACCAACATTCTCTCTCTTCTTTCAACTCCAAATCTGCACTACAAGTAACATCTTGTTTGCTGTAACATCTTCATTATTTGTTTTTTTTCCTGTATTCCATATTCACCCGCCATCTTTCCAATCCGTCACCCCAGCAAACGCTGTCATTCTGACCCTGTTATTTTCGTATCACTGGCTTCTTGTATTCTGGGTCTGTCGTGTCTTTCCCACTCCGTCGCCAAAAAGCTTGGCTTCAATGATCCGGTTGATTTTCACTCATGTTACTGGTCCATTCCTGACATCCATCCATCCTTTCATTTTTCTCTCAGCTGAGTGTCCAGCTTTTGAAGGCTTTTATTCTAACTTCTCCATTATGGCTTTTTATTCTCTTTAACTTCCCCATTTTGTTCCATCCATATGCACTCGATCTCCAACCTTCTCCAAAAATGGATGTTTGTTTGGTGGGTTCCCTCTCCAACTTTCACAACAGATATATAAGTCTTAGTTGATATTATATTTTTCCTTTTAATCACCTGCAAACTGTGAGGTTTTGTGTCAGAGGCCCAGGAAATCATGGCTCCTGTGTGGTGTCACTGGTTCAAATCTCAGCGTTGGCTGAGTGATGTCACCTTTGGGCCTCTGAACAAGGCTTCTGACTTCAATTGCTCAAGGGACTGTCTGACCTTGTTTTCTCAACTGTACATCACTTTGGACAAAAGCATCTGTTACATAAATGGAATTTCTCTGCTGACGCCACCTTTCTAATGCAACTTAGTTGGGTGACAGTTGTGGAGGCCGGTGTAGACTAGGGGTGGGCCATCTTATCCTGAAAGAGCAAGTGTGTATGCAGGTTTCTGGGATAACCTCTAGGTCAGCTGTTAAAATCCAGGTGTGAGGACTCTTCAGCCAATCAGTCCTCTAATTAGTAATCTAATAAGGGAGCTGCAGCAAAAACCTGCACACACAACAGCCCTTTCTGGATAAGATTGCTCACCCATGGACTACATGAATGCAGGGTGGTAGATCTAGCTGTGCACCAAGTGGCAAACAAGCCACCACAGCCCTGTTCACTTGGGGGGAGGGGACGACGACATGTTTTTATTAAAAATCCCCCACTTGCGTGTTCGGTGTCTTTTGTTTGCTGAGCTGTGTCCCCACTCCCACTGGCCCCAATAAAATGACATTTGATATAACCTGCAGAAAATTATGTTTCCATGCCCCACCCAAACTGTGGCGGCTTGTAATTTTTATTTTTTTGTGAACCTACATCATCAAGTGCAACTAGATCCCATCTCATTTTACCCATTTACCCAATGTATTGTACAATGGGGAAGCAGGGTCAGCCGGTTCATTAAACAAGTGGGGATTTTGAACCTTGCTCAAGGGCCTAATCGTTCTGCTGACCTTGGGATTTAAACCCACAACATTCTGGTCACAGGCACAAGATCCCAACTCACTGAGCCACCCCACACACCACGCCTTTTGCACCACAGTCTTCCCACTCATTTGCAAGCCTCACACCAAGCCAAGCCTTCAGAATTCACTCATTGTTTTCTCCTCCACAGCTACGTCTGTGCCTCGATTGCAGATGAAATTTGGACAGGGTCCTTCTCCCGCTCTGAACCCTCAAGAAAGACGAAGCTCTTATCTTGTGGTTTCCATTTTTCCCTGAGATAAATTTCTAGGAAAAACATTACCATAATTCCCAAACAAAGAACATTAGCGCAGAGAAGAAATGTGTAAAATAATCTTAAAAGAGCCAGATGTGATTTCATCATGCCTGCAGATCATATTTGCTGGATCCTCTTTGAAGTGAGGAGGAGATTCGAAAGTTAGCGTGTTAGCAAGTTCTCAGAGTGTGTTTCTCTTGGCTGCCAGCCGGCCGACTGTGAGAATCTCCATCCCGCCAAATGAAAACTTCAGCAGAACCATTCCCCTGACCTGGACTGACCATCAAATTATTATCACCATCTGTGTTGTTTTGTCTGGTCCTGCCTGAGTCATGTGATGTTCCAGCCCATATTAAGGAGGGGCTGCTTTTACCATTCCCAGTGCCCTCCAACCTATACCACCCAAAACGTAGACATCCAGACTGAGCTGTTTCATGCCACTAACCCTGGACAAGCTCTACTCACAGGATGACATTGACTCTGAAATGTTCTCTTTCTCCATGTTCTCTTTCATTACTTTGCAGTGACCGTGATTGACTGCGATATTGACTCCCGTCTTTCTTCAGAAATGGTGCTTCTCTTTGCAATGACTGAAATTGATGCTTCTTTGTCACCTCTTAAGAGTCTACTGCTGTCTAAAAGTTAAAAAAGAAGTAAAACCTCTAGCAGGGTACAAATAAATTGTGCAAAAAAGTATACTGGTCCCAAATTACTCACAGCAGAAGGTGTCTCCTTCTAATTGAGGATTGCAAGGTCTTCTCACCTTGCAATACAGAATCGCCGTGGCTGAGCAAGGCTTGGCATCCAGCCCGGAGGTGAACGTGAACCAAGACGCCCCAGAATTCTGGATCGGTAACAGCCCATCATCTGTCGTCGTGGCATGAGCAGCTCCCTGATGTTTTTTCAGAACTTCCTGACTCTCACTGGGTCCCTTAGGGTTGCTGGGTGTTGTTGGATTGTTGCTGAGTCTATAGGGCTGCTTGCTTCTTTTGAGTAAGATGCTGCTTCTGCTGTAATCATTGACTTCCGTCTTGGTTATGAGAAGGTGTAGCTGAAAGTAGAGATCCGCTGTCGCGCCGGGTTTCTGGGCACTGATGGGAAAGCACCTATCTTCTGTGGATGGGAGCCTTGGAGCCGGAACAGTCCAAGGACCACCCTTCTGACAAGGACACTGTCCTCCCATTGGTGAGAGACAGACAAGTATGATTGAGCGTACTGAATCAGCTTAAGTGACATCCGGCCAATGGGATGCCTTAAAATCTCAACAGCATTTACTGCACCAACCAAACCCTTGACCTTTGAGGACAGAAGATCCCCATTAGAAGCAACTCAAGTGGTATGACACTGGTGATAACTGCATGTGATGGGAGTGTGGGGTTTGCCAGTGCCCCCATTTAATAATGGGGTGGTAGCAAGGGGCACGGAGTGGGGGCAGCCGCTCGAGTTTGGGGCCCGGCTCTATTTGTTGCCCAGAGAACAGACCACGGTTTCCAGGAACAATGCCGCCGATGAGAGACTCTCCAAGGAAAACACGACTCTGACATCATGGGTTCGTAAAGCTCGCAGCTGCGCCAACAGCCTCCTGCCACAATCAGCTTTCAGTGAATTTCCACTGCAGAGTGAGCGGCGTGTAGAGAAAAGGGTCGGGGAGGGGGAGGCGGGGGAGGGGGGGGCTCCGCGTAAAAAATGGTGAGTGAGAAGAGAGAGGTGCTACTGCTTCTGCTGGTGCTGACCCCAAATGACTCTGAGGTCAGAGCCCTCCAAAGGCTGTCCAGAACCACTCTATCCCTCACGTCAATCAGCTAAGCCAATGATGCTGAAGGGCGCATAACTGAGAGCACTGTGCAGCGGGGTTTGCTCAAGATCCATACAACATTGATGATGTTCCAGCTCTTTGCAGTGCAGTTTTAACTAATGGGAATGTTTGACATACAAAAAGTGTTTACTTTTGTAAGTTCTGGTCTATGGAGGAACATCTGGCACAGACCAACTGGTTAAAGACACAAAACTCCCTTTCAAATCTGGCTGTAAGTCAATTTTTATGTGAAATGTTAGGTACTGTATAGTATTATTTATTAACAG